AAGCCGTGTTGAGATTTGATGCTTAAAAAAAAAAGAGAAATATTTTACAAAAACGAGCACGTTTGTAATAATTAGCACTAGTATCACATTTGTGTCATACATATGTAAAAAATGTGTGTTCCCAAAGTTACAAATACCTTTTGTAGACATTGAAAAGTGTTCGTTTTTGAAACTGCAATTCGACAGCTTTGCGCGCACCTTTATAGATTTTACGACGTGTAATGAAGTTGCCGAAATCACGGAACTTATAAAGTATTATACGCGTCTTTTAAAGTTTTTCCGTTCTGCCAGAAACCGGCCTTTAATAAGTAATCAAGTAAAGATTCTTTGTCTCCTTGGCCTATTTTAGGTGAGCAGGTTAATTGTGTTCATGAATTGTTGCTCTCAGCAAGGAGATTATCTGCCAGACAGGTGTTGCTGTGCAGCAGGATAGCTCTGAGAAAAAAATACAGTAGTGGGTTACGAAGCGGAGCATTGTATTGTATTTGCCCCACTTAATTTTGTGTCCGTTACCATGTTTCAAAGAGTCCTGTCCGCAGTACTGTCTGGTTTACCGCAGTTCAGGATTTCCAATGCAAAATAACAGGAATAGGACTCGAGCATAGCGCCTGAACGCTTCTGCTTGCACAGATCTTGGAGAATATTTCTCAACACTATTCTGTGAAAAGCCCAAAGCACCTGTGACATCTTACAGCCTGCCCTTGCGTTTCTGGCCCAAGGAAGATGATTCTGAACTAAGACATTAAATATTGAGTGCGGTGAATCTTGGCTTGCCGCACTCTTTCCATTGGCAGGTGACATGCGGCAGTTTAAGGTGTCAGAAACTCATAACTAGGCTGTAAGCGCAGTGTGTGTTATATTCTGGTTCAAAGTAAGAGGCTGTTAAATTGAATTCACACATTTATTCATTTATTTTTCTTTCTTTCCTGTTATTTCTAAATAAAGCAAATGTACATGCAAGTTCCTATCAAGCCAGTCTGTGTTTGTGTATAAATACATAGTGGTCAGTTTACAATAATTAACAAATAATAAAATGATAAGACTTTATTGTCTAATTGTTAGACAAATAGCAACCCAAAATGTGTTTACTTTAGAGTATGGTGTTTTAAATGTATGCTGAAATCAGAAACCCGAACACGTACTTTGGGTAATCCGATATACTAACCTTACAACAAACCCCTTCTCCGTGGAGCTTATCATATTCCGTTTTTATTGAGACAGTGCCAGAGAGCTGTGGATTGAAATGGTCTTTAAGGATCGCTCTCCAAAGTGGTTTGATTGTCCTGCAGCAGTCGTCTTGCTGCGTTGTTGTTCTGACCACTGTTACTGCACCATGTTGGTTAAGTGAATGATGCTTTTATTAGCTAGCTGTATTTAGCATATATCATTCCATCAGTTTTCATCTAATGCAATACCAGTTGGCAGTGAGACATTAAACGTAGTGCTATTGAAACATGATAACATGCACAAAGGACCTGTTGAATAACTTCATGCATGTGTTCACACATGGTTGCTGGGACGTATATTTAGGGTTGGGCTTTTTCTTTCAGGCAGTTTCACACAGTACATAGTAGTATCTTGTGTTGTTCCAAGCCCTTATGGATTTCTACATTTTAACCAAAGCTGCATAAATACATCAAATTGAAATTGCCACCTTCCCCCCCCCCCCTTTTTGTCCTTCATGCTGTTTGGGCTTGATTGAGACTGCACATGTGGCTCTCTTTTGAGACTTTGAACTGCATCCATGGTTTTATTTTCCTGCAGATCCAGAGCCAGAGCTAAGGCAATTTTCCTTCAGTGCTGAGTCAGTTTAATCACATCTGTAGCCGTTTGTTAATATCCTGGCACAAAATGAAATGAAAGGTGAATCTGAGGCTGTGTTAAGGTCTGCAAGCCAGTTCAAGTAGAAGAAACGTTATGAACACATGATATATTCTCTTAGCTTTTTATAGCTTTTTTTCTTTCTTTTTTCCCCTCCCCGGCAGGTACAGAATAGCTGCTGTCATCTAGCTTCAAAATCCTGTTGTAGGTTTGTTAAGCCTGTAAGGGATTTTTTTTTTTCCCCTCTTACGTTTGACACATTTTGTCACAGATCTGAGTTTCCTCACACAAAAAGGTATTTCATAACATTCAGTAATGACGAATTCTTTGTCACAAAGTGCTCAAGTGATCCACCTCGCAAGCCAGCAGTTGTGGTATGCCAGTATCCTGTGTTTTCATTTCTGAGTCATCTGGCTTCCCCAGCAGACCGGCAGGTAATTTGTGCTGGAATGAACTGGAGCATTGATGTCCTCCTGTATCCTGTCATTGATTGTATCCTTGCTTGTTCTTGTTGTTGTGCACTCTCACTTGGCCCACATTCAGTCCAGCGAAGCCAAGAATATACCTTTTACGCCACACAGATGCATGCGCAGGGTTTAAAGTAGCGTCTGCACAAACACAACAAGTTGGAGTGCATGCAAACATCTGCACGGAGACTCGTCTTCACCCTCTGATAACACTGTTTGCATTAGACAAGAACCCTGACCAAAGGTATCAGCTTTTTCCCCCATTCTCCTGGCTGGCAACCACCAGTTGTGAACGCCTGCTGTGAAATCAATTGCTATAGTCCCAGTCTCGCAGGCCTAAAGACCACAAGGGAAAAATCTGTCTTTGGTTTGGTCACACTTTTTCAAGTTTCACTACCACTTAGTGGTTAGTTAGCAAGTGTTTGCTATAGTGCATTGACTTTGTCTGCAATGTGCTGTCAATCAAAGCAATCAGGAGGTTTTTGATGTAGCAACCTCTTTGTCGTTTGTTGCTAGGTGAAACTGTTATCAGTCTTCAGGAAACCCTTGCTTACTGGTTGGGGCATACACATTTTTCCCTAGACACTGATGGGTCTCCAGACCTGTGTGACCTTACCAAACAGTTTTTCCTTTTGTACTCTGACATTGAAAACATTTTTTAAACTTTGGCATTATTTTTATTTTGTCTGGTTTACCGCAGCAATTTTGCCCTCAGCTTTAAACCCCACATTGTTCCACAAAATTCAAAGAGTTAAAGATGTGCTTTACCTTTTATTGAGTTTTTTTAAACTAAATCTGATTATAAAAGTATAATGATGGTATTGTATAGACATTGCCTGATGCAAAATAAACCTGTACTTAGGTTGGATAATCATTAATCGTGTCAGTTTTTTATGATAAAATCAAATCTTAAATATCTAGAGCGTGACATCTGGTCACAAGGCTGCTAACTGCATTTTTTTTTCAAAACATTCGGTAGCTATTTAAGTCACTGCTTATCTGCTTGATTGCATTATGGTCTTTTTAACCTTGAGGTGCCCTGCCATAGTTTCTTGTTAAATCAAAGGTCAGGTTCATTTATTAGTTTGGCACAGTTTTTTTGTTTTGTTTTGTTTCTTTGTTTTTTGATGAGTCAAATACCAGTTCATTAGAAGAAAAAAAACTGTTCATTTCTCACCATATCAACAAGCCACAGCTTGCTTGAAAAATGAGCAACAGAAATATGAGTCTGCATCTTTTTTTCTCCTCTTCAGTGAGTGAAGGTGCAGACTTAAGTGTGCAGTCTGACGTAAACCTGTTTGAGCACGTGGGGCAGAGTAGTAAGCATGCTATTTGGGAGGAATTTTTGCCTTAGGTGTCAACAGAAATTACATAAAGAGGGCTTCTAGATCAAAAGCTGTTGTTGGGTGCCAATCTTTGCATGTCCAGGCAACTAGACTAACATGCAGACTTCAAATTTCAACACAAGTTCCAATATTCCAATATCACCCCTTGTTTTTGTTTTTCAGTTAGTGGCCTAAACCCTCCCAGAGCAAACTGCATTTTGCGATAGAGTAGTTTGATTAGTCTTTGCCATTCTGTTGTGACTTTTGCCTGACAACTCATTCTCAATCCTTATTCGGAAGTAAATCTTCCTATATAAGTGGTAAAGTTATAGGCTTAGTCTACAGGCTGTCTCATAACAGTTTGTCAATAGAAATCTTGAAAATATTACAAAGAAGTAAAATCTACAACGCAAGGATAAGAATTCAAAGCAGTTATTGTTCTGAAAAACATTGGTATTAAGAGCTAGTCCTACATTCTGGACTTTTTCAGTGTAGATTTAGTGCACCTCAAGACCTTCTCAGTGAACTTTAAATGTTGTCTCAGTGCCAGATTGTTTTTTTAAAAAAATGTTTATTTCCACCTTCTTATCATTAGAGTCAACAGCTTTCATCAGAAATCAGCCCACAGAGTTTCCAAAACTAGACTTTTGTGATACTACAAGCTATTTTTGCGTAATGTTATATACTGACGTGCAGTGGCTCTGTGCTAATGGAGATTTATTCGCATCTTTGAATCATTATCTCCATCATTTGCTCACAGATGCTGATTTTATGATGTGCATACATACATTATATTAATTATGAAATGAGTTGTTGCATTAAAAAGTCTCAGGGTAGTCCAGGATAGTATTATATTAAAAAGACTCGGAAGGTCTTGCTGATAGTGACTGTTCCAGTCTAAGAAGCTAGGGTGCTGTCCCCCCCCCCCCCTTTTTTTTTAAATTTAAAACACCTTTGAAGGGCTGTTCGATATAACGATTTATATCGGATGACGATATAAAAACATCTATCGTTTCATTTTACACTAACGTTTGTTTCGTGGTGTCGCAAAATAAACTGTTTACGGTAATATTTTTTCATCGTTTTGATGGTCACTGTAGTGGCTATGTTAATTTCTTAAAGTTCTCCCTTTCTCTTACATTTAATATAACCACACTACAGATGGACAAGTTCCTGTTTTTATGCGTTGTCGTTAGCAACAACGACGGTAAAACCATCGCGTGTCTGCTTGTTTATTTTCCAAATAAACCTTTCACAACAAAGCTCAAGATCCTGTTGAGACTTTTCAAAATAAACTGAATCGCGTGAAAGAGCGGATTATTTACGGATGAGAAGCAAAAAAGAGCCGTCAGGTGCTAAAAAATAAACCTTAGACTAAAGCGTTAGAACAGGCTTTTCCCCGCAGCACGCCGTGTAATAAATACTCACAAAGAAAACGGCGGCCCTTACAACTTATGTCTAAAAATGTATAGTTTCATACATCGTCAGAAATCCCTGTTTTACCACATCGCGCGCGCGTGTGTGTGTGTGTGTGTGTGTGTGTGTGTGTGTGTTCTGATTCACTGGAAATGGAGACTTGGAAAACTTCTCATCAGCAGTTAGACATGAATTCGCTGGAAATTTTATGGTTTGATCTTTTTTTTTTTTTTTTTTTTTTAAGTAATTATTTTCTGCAACATTGCAGATAAAACACGTTTTTCTTTTTTTTCTTTTTTCTTTTTGAAGGGTGAAAAAAAAGAGGTTGATATACAGACATGCAGTTTCTACAGGAGTATATACCATCACTCTCTGATAAGTTTACTTCGTATGTTACAGCCGGCTCATAAAGAATATGAATTAAATTTCATTTCCAGCATTCTCTCGGCTAGTGTTTGCACTTTTAGTATTTTAATTCTGGTGATGGAACATGGGCCACACACTTAGGTTGCAAAGGGGTGCATATGTGATATGTAAAATCGAGTACTCAGCTATGTAATCTGCCTTTGTAAACTTTTATGAGCGAATGGGCTGTTCTAAAGAGCACACTGAATTTGAGCATGGTACTGAAATAGGATGCCACCATTGAAACAAGTCAGTTTGTGAAATCTATTCCCTCGTAGGTAGTCCACGATGAACCGCAATGTAAGTGATTGCAAACCATGGCAACTCAGCCACCAAGTGGTAAACCACTAAAGTTAAGAGTGAGGTCTCCTGGTCGTAAGGCCCATGGTGCATAAAAACCACCAGCGTTCTGCTCACTTACTGTAATAACTGCAGAGCTCCAAACCTCTTCTGACATTAACACAAACGTAAAGGTATTCTGTTGATGTAATCTGCATGTGGTACCCTGATTTTGTCCATATAATGTAAATTCTACATGCCGTCAGTAAGAAAAGATTCTGGACTGCTTTGTCAGTTGAAAACAATAGATAACGCTCCAAGTTTTTCAGAAAATTAAAACATCCTCGATGACCACCACATACGTGAGTAAAATGTGAATTTCACTCATTTAGTGGTTGCTGGAGGTCGCAAGGATTGTGCGTTGCCATGAGGTTGTTGACCGGTCTCTAGGCCAGTGTAACAGGCCTTTCAGCAAAGTCATGGTGTCTTTGAGTCTGCCGACCAATCACAGGCTGTGCAGGCTGGTCTCAGTGACACTGCACAAAGTAATGGTTAATATTTGCACATTTGGTTAGAATTGAAATTCACCCACACTGTCCCAACTGTGAGGCATCTACACAGACATAGATATGTTGTGTCGGTTGTCCCTGATCATGTAAATATTTATAGATTCATATGACATTACTGCAACCAAGGTTGCAAGGTTATCAGAATCCCTAATCTCACATTCTATAATTGACTTGTTTAAAAACAAGGTGTGACGAGGTTTAGGTTAAATGTGGCAAACAAAATGGTAAGAATCTTATATTGTGACAGCCTTGCTTTCAAAGCTGACCATGCTGTATTTGCCAGCCTTCAAATAGTTTGAATTCCACTGCTTTTTGAAGTCAAGCTTTCAGGTTAAGTTGAATGACCATTTTGTCTTTTGGGTCCACTGGTAAGCACAGAGCTAAAGGTAGATGGGTTTAAGAGCATTAAATTCAGTCAGATTGTCACTATTTTCTTTTCCAGTAGTATCTGCTGACAGTAAAACAGACTCCATTGTGGTACTGTTTAGATAATAAATATGATAATTGACCTACCTTGCTTTCAAAGATGACTTGTGGATGTGTGGTTTGGCCCTCATAGAGTCTCAGTGGCCTTTTTTCTTTTTGATGACGCATGGAAGTTGTTCCTGGTTGCTTCAGGATTAGCTGGGATAAAAGGGCTACATGCCACAAATGCTGAACCTGGTGTGACACAAATAACTTGACCCGCTCCAAGGCTTCACTGACTTTTACGTTGTTAGATCGCTGTGTGGAAAGAACAGTCTGTAAGATTTTTCTTTTTCTTTTCAAAAACGTGACAAGGACGAGGTGATGGTCAAAATAGAAAATGTTGACATAACTCAAGTGAATACATTGTTTATTTCAGATGCATCTAATTAAAAACACACTTTCTAAATTTGTACTCGGATTGTTTTTCCTTTTTAGGCCAACCTTTCCAATATACCCTGAAACAAAAGTTGGGGAATTTACATTTCTATTGAGAGGAAAGATGAAACTTTGTCTTTTTAAGTATTTGGGTAAAAACAGTGTTTTTTAAGAGTTAGATGGGCACAAAATAGTTACCGTTAAAGTGAGAAAAGTTGGTTTATGTTCCATGTATTCTCATGCAAACTCAGGTAAGTGTGAAAGCGTTTTTACATATGTCACTGTACACTTCGCACTTTACACGTATTATGCAGCTTTGTGAAAAACTTAGTGCACCTTGTGATTCAGTAGCTTTAAGATCCACCTTTAGCAACAATAACATAAAGCAATCATTTTCTGGAAGATTGCCAGTCTTTCATGTCACTATGTCGGAATTTTGGCGCACTTATTTTTGCAACTTAAATTCATTGAGGTTTGTTTACTTTAGTTTTCCCCGGTCCTTGTCAGGTCCTGGCACAGTATTTTGTTGTGGTTCAGGTCTGGACTTTGGATGGACCACATTGATTATTTCCATTTTTCGTCATTCTGTTGCAGATTTGCTGCTGTGCATGGGATCATTGTCCTGTTGCATAACCACTTTTCTGCCTCACATTTAACTCTAGAATACTTTAGTATACAGAAGAGTTTGTGGTTGACTGCAAGTTCTGCCAAGCCCAAATCATCAGCCTCCACCACCGTGCTTGACAGTTGGTATGAGGTGTTTGTTCTGATATATTGTTTGTTTTTCACCAAACATAGAGCTGTGCATTATGGCCAAAAAGCTCCTCTTCAGTTTCATGTGTTCAAAGAATGTTTTCCACTTGTGGTCAACTTGGAGAAAAATGGCCTAAATTATTTGGAAACTTCCCCTCCCAGATTTAACGGCAGTAACAATTGCTTCTCTAAGATCATTGCTAACATCCTTTCTTGTCCCCCCCCCCCAAATTTCGTTAACACACATCTGAATGCTCCAGACCTAAAACCTGCTACAACTTGTGCTTTAAAAAGGCGCTCACAGTTTCTGATGATCAGTTAACCAAGTGCATTTGATTGTCAGCACCTGGCTACTACTTAGCATCTAAATTCCTATGGAAGCAGTGAGGGTGTATTTGGTTTTTCACAGGACTGTAGCTTAGTATTACTCCATAAAACACACATGCAACAACTGTGGTTTCACAAATAGTTTCTTCTTGTGCTTTGGTAAGTCTTCTGAGTTTCTTCATCAGGTAAACTGCCAAACACAATGATGATGGTGTTGTGTTTTTTTTTTTCTTTTCCCAAATGCAATATGTGGTTAACCACCATAATACCAACACAATACCAACACTGGCTGCTATTGTGCAGTAGGTTGAAAATCAATCACAGTAAGCTTTGTTTCAACAGTTTTGTAGTCATCATGTGTGATGCAATTATTTAAGAAATAAGTGACAGTGTGTTGTCAGGATGAAAGTTATTTTGTTTGATAATAACTTAATAATGTTATAGAAGACTCTGTTTTTACTACTTAAATTTAGACTTTTTTTCCCCATCTGAACTTGTTATCCACATCTTTGTTCCCTCCAGATTATGTGTTTTAAATATGTATCATTACTCTTTATTAGTAGGATATTTGATTTCATATTCTGGCAAAAATTAAATAAATTAGAAAATATGCATTTTTTTTCCACTAGTGATGTAATTAATAAAACAGTATGTCCTACTATTCGTGGGAAAGTGGTTTAATACTGGGTGGGTGGTTGTCATATTCGGGATTACTCAATTAGCCAAGTACTACCTTCACTGTATTTTTTTTTAATTTTTTTAATTTTTTTTAAATACGTGGCAGTAACCAAGAGTTCTGAGAAGTTTATGGACAAATACATTGTAGCATTGAAGAGTATGAACACATTGGCTTATGCTCTACACAAGTAAGTGGTGGTGGCAGCCTGTCAAAATGCATTGTCCGGACATGCCTTCACAGCATCAGGATCATGACAGGAGAAAAATGGTGGGCTTGTCAGAGAGGTTAATGAAAACAGGGCAGAAGCGATTGTAACACAACATTCCTTTCTATGGGCCACAACCATTAAAATAAAAAAAGGCAAAAAAAATTATTTAACGACTTAATTTGTTATGCCAATGTAAATGTAGCTAGGTGCAGCAGAATTTGTTTAAATTACAACTTTGATTTTTGGGTTATGTAATACCAGTCACCTGTATGCAGTGTGACAGATGCACTACGTATATGGTCATGTATACGTAGTGCATCTGGCTCATACGTATGTGCTGTATCTTGTTGGTGGTGGTATTTTGGGCTCATGTGACTTTTCCCATGTAATTACTGCAGAAGGAAACCTTGCAAAATCATTTCACTTATGCGCATGCACTTGTCTACTCATGCATCATTCCTGCATACATATGCCGACATGCTACATTCATATTGTGCACAGGTTTGTGACAAGTTTTGTTCAACTTGCCAAGAGGCTTTTGGGGTCAAGTCTTTGGTATTTTCCTTTTGATCCTGTGCTCCCCCCCCCCCCCAAATCTTAGCCTTCAATGATAAACATAAATATAAAAACATAATTCTCAGTTTTGAAATATGAGCCAATGTGTGATAACATGTTGAAGAATACTAGTGCTGCTTTGAAGAAAAAGTCACCACGAGGTACAAATAATTACCTTTTGTAAAGGATTTGTGGTACACCAAGGTTTGCCTGACATATTTTTTTCAAATAAAAACAAATGCAGCAGATCACAAAATATGCAAGTTACTACTAACTTGCATATAGTCTGTTCTGTGTAACTGCTTTGATTCTTTCACTGTTCATACCGAGACTGCTGACTTTGACTGGCTCTAATCTCTGGGTAGCTTTAGCGTTAACCATGTTGCCTATTTTAGCTTCTTTAAAATGTCCAGTGTAAGTATAAAACTAGGTCATTGTTAGTAGGGGGTGGTAAAAATAACATGGAGTGAGATTTTAGTACAATGTTATAAACTGAAGCCACATACTGATTTTTATTTATATATGTTCGAACTTCATTGCTCAGGTATAAACCTGTATTCATTTATGCCTTAATAATACTGCTTATTTTCTAATTTCTCCATGTTGGCTCAGAAGCGAGACAAACACTCAAAAGAGTTGTCTCTCGGTCTCTGTTGCTATGGAGTCCCTGGTAGCCTACATGTAGGTCGGTTGTAAACATTTCAGGGTTGCTGTAGATGGTTTGCTGCAGTTGCCCGTCGATTAAGCTTGTGCTCCTCATTGCATTTTGTGAAATCCCACAAAGTCTTTGCAGCCTGAAATTTTTCAGCAAGTAGGTTGCACCACTGCTCGGTTTCTGCATGACAGGATTCCACATGACAATACCACTAACCTGTTGAGCAGGATGCACTGCAGCAAAGGGTCTGGAGCACAGTAAACAAGACGGGGAGAGTGTAGGTGGAGTGGAGGAGGGGGACAGAAGTGAGTTAAATCAGTCACTCGGCTAAAAAACCAGTGCCACGCCCAAGGTGCCAGGGCTAGTAAGAGCAAGCAGGAGGAATGTGAGGGAAATGAATGGGATTGTAAGTCCTACCATTCACATGGTGAGTTATTTCTTCTTCTTTTTTTCCATCTTAAGTCTGCACTACTTGCCACATAAACATATCACAAGACATGATGAGTATGATCTGTGCAGAATTCCTGATGTGAAACTCAGATTGTGAGTGTGTGTGTGGTTTGTTAGTTTAGCTGTGAGTCAGTTCAGTTTTTATACACACATATTTCAGTGCATTGTTAGCATGAGTGCTACTGATCAAAACTAACCACATGTGTCAGTGTGAATTATTCTGGTTGTTATGATTATCACAGAAAATGAGAGGTTTTGCTCTGTGGTCAGCGGACTGCACAACATCGCTGTAGTCTTAAGGTGAAATCAAAACATCACGTGGTGCGTGTGAGTCCGTACAGTTTATTGCCCAGTTAGCAAGGCTTTATTATTTTTTTTAAATCTTCAGAGTGAAAGGGACAGTGTTTTGTCACGTGTAAATAAAGAACTGCACTCTGTATGTGCGTCAGGAAACAAACATGCAGCAAAATAAGAATTTTCATTCAGCCCTCTAAAAAAGTCCAAGGGACTGTGGAAACACTTTGAACAGGGCAGCCAGTGATTCGACACTACTGCTGTGAGAGAAGAGTACATATTTTCTGTCTGTGTGGTTGGCAATCTGTTTACTGGAAGGGCTGCTCACTGAGAGCACATGTTGCTGCATGTGCAGTCAGTGAGGCCCAAGAAGTTAAAAGTGTAAATGCACGGGCAGGGAAAGTGTTTTTGTGGCAGCGGTGGGATATGTTTGTGTGCATGCATGTGTGTCTCTGATTTTGTTTGGAGAACGGAGCCAAAAAAAATAATAATTTTTTTTTAACCCCAGGAAAACCACACTAGAATCCTCTGTGTATGTGTGGTTCACTGGGAGTTAGGAGTTTGTTGGCTCCACTTTTAAGCCTCTTTCTGGGAACCAGCATTCCCTGCTCTTCTAAACCGAGCTGTAAGAGGCTGGAGGGCTTTGGGAATGAAGAGGCATGGGCTGGTTTCAGTATGTCCCAGGTTTGTCTTTTGTACACAGCGAGTGGTAACAATGGGAGGGTTACGTATCTGATATACACACCAAACCCTGGGACTCAGCTGCAAGTAATTAAAGCTGGCAGTTGGCAGAGAAGAGAGTCAGGCGACTGTAATGGCCGCTCTAAGTTCATACCATAATATTTGGATGATGAATCAGGCTGCTAGTAAAAGTGTTGTCATGCTGTTGACCCAAGGCTTTCTCCCTTCTCCATGTCCTGTTGCCCCAGAAGGGGGCACAGAGAGGAGAGAAAAGGCTTTGTATGACCCTGTTTTTGGTCTGTAATGAGATCTGCTATTTATTTTGCATGCTACAGCATTTGATATGTCTTAAGTTGCTGGCTTTTCCCAAAAGTGTACTCCGAGTCTTGACTAACTAGTTCAGATATATGATTCTACCGACCGTCCTCTGAGAAAAAATATGCAGCTTTCAGTTTTGGATGCTGTATAGTAGGGGGCAATGGGTGTATGCATAAAGTGCATACAAACAAATCTGTGCTTAAACTGTGCGTACAAAAGTTTCACTCACAAATTTTCTGACCTGAATTTGTTTGTGTGCTGCAAACAAATGAACTGCCTCAGACTGTGAGCACAAATAATCAAAGTCCTGCTGTCTCGGAAATGTAAACAAATTTATATTGAAAGTAATGATGGCTTAATTTACCTCCCACCTTTATGAAACATACTTTTAGAGAAATTTTTAAAAGTTCCAGATATTTCACACATAGTCTTGAGTGAAAATGGGCATCATTTCATCCTCGATGGATGTCATCATCACAAACTAATTTCTTGGTATTTTTTCACTTGGTTTTTTTTTTTTCTTTTCATCTTTAGTTGACACGTTAGATGTCTTTCCAATTTCTTTTTTATTTTCTTGCCTGTATTGATTTTTATTATTATTCATATTTTGCAGCAACTTTAATGATGAACTTCAACGATGGCATCATTTTTTTCATGTTATAATACAGTGTTGGAGTGCTGTTGCTTATATGTGAAAACATGGTGGATAAAGGCTCCTGTGTCAGTAAGAAATGTGCTAAATTACCTCAAATGAGGTCATTTAAACACTTCAAGTTGCTTGTTGAAAAAGGGAGAGGTGTTAAAAGAGAGTGAACTTCCATGACCCCTGTGGCGACCTATCATCTCTGTTTACAGCCATTAGCCCGAGGCAACATTAGTGCCTTCTGTAGTATAACAGAACACACCTGAATCTCTGGCTGGACTGTTAGTAGCATGTTGCATTATAGCTAATGCAGCCGCCAGGCTTTAACAAGCAAGAAGAATGTGGTAAATTAGATAATATCTTTGCATTGGCTGCAGCTATGCTATTTTTATCTGTCTGTTGTGACATCAGTAGTTTTACAGAAGATACGAGATAAATTTGTAAATCTTTTAAAAACCATGATGCTGCTTTTCTGATATGCAAAGATTCTTTACATACATTTCCATCTAATGTCAGTCACATTATATAGCTTTGAATTCCCCTTGAATTTTTAGTCTGTCAGCAAATTGGGTGAAAGGTGTGGCATGACTATTCATACTTGCAGCCTGCGACAGGCTTTGGCTTTAGTGAAAAGGTGAAGACGCGTTTGGCATCAGAACTGATGGTGAAATATGTTCCAGTGCATTGTTCCAATAGCCCTAGCTTTGTATCATAGGTATTTGTGTGTCATTGTGTTGGAGTCATTGCCAACAAGGTCATGGTGGTTCTTATAACTGTGTAAGAGTGGTGATATGACATTGCTGTGTAATTATATAATTTCAGAAGAACGTATGAGCCAAAACCAAAAAGGTTTAATCACTTTCAGGTTTCCCGTTTACAACTCGGTCATGGAGCTGACACATTTGATGGTGCTCAACAAAAGCTGTTGAGATCCTGTAAATCTGTCACCTTACTGTCGCTTTTATTGGTTCCCCCCTCCTTTCACAACAGAGTCAGTGTATGACCTTCTTCCCAGAGAGCTGCAGTTGCCTTCATCCACTCAGCAAAGCCCAAAAGTCATGAGTCAAAAGAGCGGCGGAGAGGCAGGGCCTCTCCCTTCAGCTTCTCTAGCATCAGGTAGGATCCTGCTTCTCTTACCCTTATTTCTCCTCTGCAAGCAGGACTGATCATGCCCCACCCTGAAAAAAGTACAACTCATGTTACAGTCTGTACCTTCAGGCAAACAAACACCTGCATGTGGCAAGAAAGCCAGTCAGGCAACCATCGTGCTCCTCTGTGATTCTCACGTGAAGGAAAAAAAACAAAACAAACAGTAATAAAAGGCTGGTGAGGGAAGTTAATGGCAGCTGAACATAGCTAGCTGCCTGTACTCACGTTGCTATGTACTATATGTTGTGGTCTCTTGTAGCAACAGTTTAGAAATATGGTTTATGCACATGTTTTAAGACAATGATATTAGTGCATAATGGTAATTAAACTGCAAAGTAGAACGATTGTAGACCATAAGAATATGAGGCCCCGGCAAAGGCCTGTTATTCATTACCCCACAGACTAAATCTACTTACCCATTTTTTTTTCTTAGCCTTTTTTCCAGAGAATTAACTCATTCACTGCCATTGACGTCTATAGCCGTCAATTGCAGTGAATGAGTAAATGGGTTTAACTCATTCACTGCCAATGGCTGGCAGTGAATGAGTTAAGAAGCTTTGAATGGCTGTAATCACCTTGTTGACCATTCTGCAGTTCCAAGGTGGAGCTATTATTTACAGAAGAAAATCTTCTTAATAGACCAACACGGAAGTCCAGTATAAATGAACAGCTAATGACTATTTCCTACACAAGTAAAAGTTGCCCATTTTTTTGAGGACTGTTAGCTTGTTGAGAACTCCAGATTTAGATCCGGATCGGAGGGTGAGCCACAGATTGTTGAATGTGTGAAGATAAGCATATCTTTTACCCGCCATTGTTGCAGTTGGGTTTATGGTTTCATGGTGGAAATTAACACATGAGAGTTTTGCAAAGATTCTAGAGATTAATTAAAAATCTCAGCATGTGCTTCTAAAAACAAAGAAACAGCAAAAAGTGCTGTGTCACTGATTTTATTTTATTTTTTCTAATTTATCTTTTGATGTTTTAACTTGGTGTTCTATGTTCACTTGATATTTGAAGTTATTCAAATGTTTCAGCTGACCTGAGACTTTTAAGTGACTGTTCCAGTAGTTATTCGAGGAGAGATGAACACTTAGGGGTAATAATGCAAGCAAGGTGGGCTCAGTCCAGGAGCTCCAGACTCCAAAATCAAGTCAGCCACTTTTGCATGCATGGGACTTTGACAGTACAGACTGCTATGATACAAACTTTATGGTAGGTTCTATTCATTTCCTGACCCAGGCTTTTTACCCCCTTTTTTGGTTTTTATAAATATTTTCCTGTCCTGCCTACTTTTGATTTTTTTTTTTTTTAATACCAGTCACAGGTCACTGCTTCCACAAGCAATTCATGTAGAGCAGGGGTGGGCAACTCTGGGCCTCAAGGCCTGGAGTTCCCCACTCCTGGTAGATATTTAGATATCATCCCATTTAGATATCATCCTGAATCAAATGATTGGTTCAGTACCAGAGCTCTGGAGAACTTCAAGCCATTTAACTCAGCTGTGTCGGATCAGGGACACATCTAAAACCTGCATGACACCGGCCCTTGAGGTCTGGAGTTCCCCACCACTGATGTAGACCAAATAATTCATTGATAGATTCGCACCTATTGATGTTTTGCAGTCACATGACTGCTAACCATTTGACATTAAATTGTTTACCATTTTGGACATGTGACAATATTAGGTCAAGTGAATAAGATCCCAGTCACACAGGCCTAGAGACCAGCTAAACATCCCGTGGTCTTTTCCCATCACTTGTGAAATCTTGGGGTTCCTTGACTAATTGGCATAAACCACCTTGCAATTGCTTTGGTTGGTGACAGATTGCCATGGTCGCCTAAAGTTTGCATGGAACAGACTAAAATTTTTTCACAGGCACTCACTGGCTGTTCTACAAGCGGTAGTGAAACTCTGAAAAGTGCAAAACCAACCAGACATGGAGACCTTTTGCATTCAAAGTAAAACTTGTACCTTTTGAAATGTTTTGGCTCCAGTGCCAGGGTAAAGCTTTTTGCTTAGAAAGAACGTTTTCCATTGTCGTTACACCTTTTCAAGTTTTCCTACAGTTTGTCACTGCAAATGCCTGCCTGTTACATCTGTAGTAGACTTTATTGTGCCAGATAAAAGTAGGAAGACATCTGTGAAGTTTGTTTGTTTTTTAACTTCTGATTATTGCCTTTACATTCCTAGGATCAACTGTACACGTGTCATAAGGTGATATGTTTAAAAGTTTTAAATGTCCCTCTGTAAAGCATTCTGGTGTCTGAACAGGGCTATGCAAATAAATTTCACTTGAGTAGTTAGCAAGCATCTGAAGACAAGTCGGCATTGTCCATGCAAGCTACAGGCAGCCACTGCTATCTGATAGTGAACAATGCAATCACAAAGAGGTTTTTGGTGAAGCAGCCTCTTTCTGACTGATTTCACCTCACCAGCCAGTCAAAGAATACAACCCGACCCCCAGCGCGACATGTAGTTGTCTCACGTCCAATATGGGGGACTACTATCAAGCAATTTGTGCATGATGTCCTGCGAGAAACAGCCATAGTTTTGATGTTTTCCTGGTTGTTTGGAGAAAAAAATTGTTGTTTGAAGTATTAATCATTTGCTCTCATTTGTTTTTTGGCAATTCTGTATTGTGGTTTCTGATCATATGTGTTTTTGTCTCATGATACTTGCTCAAAATGACACTATCTTCATGCGTCTTATGCGCTCTTTTTTTCTTCCAACCGTTTTTTTTCCTTGTAAACCAATGATTCATCCAAACGTCAACAATGTCAAGACCAGTGTAACTGTTTGTTTATAATCTGCCATTTTATGGCGTTATTTTTGTGCCACTATTCTGAGCGCAAGTAAAAAAAAAAATGAGCGCATGTAAAAAAAGTTTGCAGGTGCAAGTGTTGTATTTTGAGGAAAAATTAATTTTGCGCGAAGAAAAGCTGAATTTGAGTGAACAAAATTCATTGCTGCGTGCAAAAAATGTATTTCAGTGTTTGCTATTATCCACACACACACACAATAGCAGCCCCCCTCGCTCGGTTTTTGCATTTGCGCTCGCGCGCAACGTGTTGCTCGCGCGCAACGTGTTGCTCGCGCGCAACGTGTTGCTCGCGCTCTCAACATTTCTGCCCGTGCGCGCTCAACTCTTTCTCTACACCGTTATATTTGTGCCACAAAACCAGCCAATCACAGACTTGGATGCAAAAAAATCTGATTGGCTGGTCTGGTCTCCAATCAGCTCAAAATGACGAAATGCAATATCCCAGAATCCATTTCGTCTAAAACTCAAACGAGGCAGTGGCAGAGGAACACAGAGTGGCGGAGTTTGAAATATTACTCTTTCTGGGTCACAAAATAAACTTTTAAGATATTTTCATGCGAGAATGGTGCTGTGTAAACTTCAAATACCTGCTCGATTCATCAAGACATCACATATTTGCATAAGTGCTCTAACGTTTTCGGAGATGCCTGTTACCCACCAGCTGACCGAGTGGTCACTCGGGTTAAACGTAATATATAAAGCTGAAGTGACAAAAAAAATCACCGACTACACCACCAGGTATTATAGGAAAAACCATAAAGCCTTTGAACTAAAACAAACGCTGTTGTGACAGTGATGTACACTGTCTTGTTGGTATATATGTATGATTTGTATCACCTTCATGTTTCCAAACCGAGCAGCTTTTCCAGCTGTGGCTCCAGCAAACATCAGCTGATACTAGAAATTAGTTTTAAATAAATTCTAACAACAGCTGATCAAGCTTGAACGTGCTGCTGTTGTTGTTTAGCGCAACATCCGCTGGTTTCCTGTTTCTGGCGCAAAGAGAGAAACAAACAAGAGAGACGATCAGCTGATCATTGATCAGTTTCATGATTGACGTAGCAACAGGGGAGGGAGGAAGAGAGAATGAGGGGACAAGGCAGCTGTGCAACGTAAAGACAGAATAACTCCAGCTTTGTGTCTTTTTTTTTCATTCTCGCTGAAGTCCAGAACGAATCGCGTTCCTTTTCCTCTCAATACGGATGTATTGTAATTGGTCCAGCCCAGAGTTGATCATGACCAATTGGCTAATCCACCACCTTTCATTGTTTATACCATTACAAAAACAAACAAACATAAAAATGAAAAATCATCATCGGCCCACTGGGCAAATGTCCGGTATGCCCAATGGCCAGTCCAGCTATGCGGTCAGCTGGTGGGTAACAGGCATCTCCGAAAACGTTAGAGCACTTATGCAAATATGTGATGTCTTGATGAATCGAGCAGGTATTTGAAGTTTACACAGCACCATTCTCGCATGAAAATATCTTAAAAGTTTATTTTGTGACCCAGAAAGAGTAATATTTCAAACTCCGCCACTCTGTGTTCCTCCGCCGCTGCCTCGTTTGAGTTTTGGACGAAATGGATTCGCAACACGTTGCGAGCGCGAGCAAATGCAAAAACTGAGGGGCTGCTTTTGTGTGTGTGTGTGTATGGATAATAGCAAACACTGAAATACATTTTTTGCACGCAGGAATGAATTTTGTTCACTCAAATTCAGCTTTTCTTCGCTCAAAATAAATTTCTCCTCAAAATACAACACTTGCACCTGCAAAAAATTTTTTACGCGTGCTCAATTTTTTTTGTTACGTGCGCTCAGAATAGTGGCACAAAAATAACGCCATACCATTTAACCATCCTTTTCCCACACTCTTTATATAGTTCATTTTAAACTCTTTTGAATCCTTTTGAAATAACAGTGTGCACCAACCAGCCACAACATTAAAACCGCTTGCCAAATACGATAGCTCTGCAAAACCTCTAAAGGTGTCCTCCAGGCACCAAGATGTCAGCAGCAGAGCCTTCGTTGTCGTGATCTGTAGATCACGCTATTTTTTTCTTTCTTTCATATCCTTCGTCACTGAGATTGCGATGTGGGAAATTTTCAGGCCACACCTTGATCTGTTTATGCTTCTCAAACCATTCCAGAGCACATTTGCAGTGTCAATTCTCCTGGTGGAAGCTGAAATACAGTGAATGCGTTTGCATGGTCTGCTGGAGTGTCTAGAAAGGTGACATGCATCAACGTAACAATACACAAGATTGTTAGGAGCTAGTATTCTCTGGAGTGTCACACTGCCTCTGGTGGCTTGCCGTTTTTCCATAGTGCGTCCTGCTGCTACCAGGTGAAAGAGGTGCACGCACCCAACCGTCAACAGGACTCACGATCCTGCTTATGTGCTTATGTGCACATTGTACCAGAGACATGGGACAGGATGGCCACTGCATTAAATCACTCAGTTCCTTGTGCTTGCCCATTTCCTTCACTTCTAACACGTCTGCTCCAAGAACTTTCTGCCTAACGTGTCCCACTCCCCTCACATTTACCACTGTATTCCTTGTTATGTTGGTGGTTTCAATGTTATGGCTGATCAGTGTATATAAGCATGTTGAAGCAACATGATTTTTGCCAAACAAATTTCCCTGTTCTATTGATTTCTTTTTTTCTCTTCTTTTTAATAAAATCTGAATACGTTTTTTTACTGTTCAGCTTTTATTGCTTATTCGCTGTCTCATTTTTATATTCCAGGAAGTTCCCTATGAAGCAGGGAGTGTCTGCATTTTATATGCAGAAAATGGTCTGCAGTTCTCTGCTTCCTAGGTCAGAAGCTTGTTTATTTTGTCTCAGCGGCTACGCTCAGTCCCCAAAATGAACACTGATAGAAAGCAAGATATAAATAAACGAAAAGTTCCCATAATTGGCATGCCTCATATTGTACAATATTATCATTGTTGAGATTTTTATTTGAGCATGCACAAAATGCTAGCAATAATGAATTTCTGTTGTTTTTGAAGTTGATTACAGTACATTGAAATAAAATATAGTGGCCTGCTCAACCTTTGTCTTCGTTTTTAGTCTTCTTGACATAACACCTCCACTGTGCTACAAATACTCCACATTTATAACTTCATCAGAATCAGATGCACATTTATATGTAAGATCTAGTAACAACACAGAGTTTCTTTTTTGGATGACAACATATAAAAAAAACGTAATAAAATCAGCAACAAAAAAATTGAAACAGAGAAAAAAACTATTTTGCTGTAAAATTGGGACTACTAGCCAACATTAGTTGAGATGCCTGTATTAACTATCTAATTATTTGCACTGTAGATGCCTCTTCTCTGACCATGGAAGGCCCTCGCAGTGCTTTTTCCACCTCTTCCAGCTCCACCATGCATTCCAGTAATCTAACCAATGACCAGAAACCAGTTAAAGCCAGTAATGTTGATCCAGACGACACCAGGAGTACCAAAGTGGTACCAGAGGCTGCTGGAGCAGAACGTGGAAATGGTAACGGCAGGGGCAGCGGCGAGCTAACAGGAGGAAAAGGTGTAACAACCCAGGAAGGCCCACTGCATCACCCACTGACTCCATCAAAGCGTCGCACCGTACTGAACATCTCGCCACCTCCAGAAGATTTGTTTGATGACAGCCAAATGTCCTGCCAAGATGATGGGACCCAGGATACAGAGCAAAGTAACAGCATCTGGATGGATGAATCTCTGTCCAACTTCAGTGTGACGAGCACGTTGTCTTACAATGACAACACAGAGGTGCCACGGAAGTCCCGCAAACGTACCCCCCGTCAAAGGCCTGGCCCTAAGACGGCGCCACCAGGGGAGGGCAGCATGGATGTGTTTGATGCAGACAGTGCCAAAGGCCCGCACTTTGTCCTGTCGCAGCTAGGCCCTGACAGCAAGGGAGGACATAAAGGAAGGTTTGTACTTTTCGTATTATGATCACCAGAAATTTGTCACATGCCTCTCGACATTTCATGGAGTTGTCAAAAATATTTCCAGTGGTTTCTCCCTGATTAAAGGGAGTTTTTCCTTCCCACTGTTGCCAAAGCAATTGCTCATGGGGGTCATATCATTGTTGGGGTTTTCTGTTTTTTCTGTACTATTGTAGCACCTTGAGGCAACTGTTATTGTGATTTGGCACTATAAAAATAGAATTGATTTTGAAATAAATTATGTTACATTATCAGTAAGTAAAGAAAACACATTGATTTAGGACATTGTTGACTCACTTGTTAGCTAACTTTTTGTTCATTTAATAGTTTCCTTTGATAGTTGCACCAGCCCTTTAGTAGTTACTTGGGTACTCAGCCTTTCTCTGACTATAACTTTAAAGACCCGTTTTAATAATTTTGCTCAGCCCTCATCGTTAATGTAGAAGGAGGTAGTATCACGAAATGATACGTTGGCACACACCGACAGATGGAAATCTTTACCAAACTGATCTGGCTCTAAATTTCCCACCACACTTTGACTGAAGGAGAGCGGTTAGATCAGAGGGGAGGGAGGGGCAGGATACTGAAGTACAAACAATGGTCAGCCACAGTGAATCACAGAGCCCTTCTCAAAGACCTAGGATAAGCAGAGCAGATTAAATAAACAGATAAGGCTGAACGTTTTAGGAGCTGGGGATAGAAAATGTTTGGCTGATGGACACCCTCTGAACTCTGCATTGCTTAGAGCGCCATGGCAACTTCAGAGCAGTTTCACTGTTGTGACTGAGAGCTATGTACTGCAGCAAACCCCAGCCAATTGCATACAGATATATAATACTGTTAGGGTTCTTTTTATTTAAACTGGGGTTCTGAACCTAACATTGCTGCAAACACTTGCATGGATTAAGTTGAAGAGTTTTTAATCCATCACAGGCTACATGAAAACGTTAGAATTAGAGATCATCTGCTCGTGTCTCTGTCAAATTGGTCTTTGCTGCAGTTCTGATGAACCTCAGACTACTATTCAGAAAGGAGGAACTCTCTCGATGCAGTTCCCACAAAAGAGTGAGGGGAAAGAGTTGAAGATCCTCGTCCAGCCTGAGACCCAACACAGAGCCCGCTATCTGACTGAAGGCAGCAGAGGATCCGTGAAGGACCGCACTCAGCAGGGCTTCCCTACTGTAAAGGTAATTGTAAAACCCCTCTGTAGTTAATGTTGAAATTCTACTGCTTTAGCATCCCTGTGTTTAACGTTAGCATAAGGTGAAAGTAATTGCTGATATTGAATTTATTACTTGCAACATTTTCCAAAGAAGTTGGGGCACTCCTGGGCTTCCCTACAAATTTATTTATTTTTTTAAACAATACTGTATTGAACTGAGAAGATAAGTTGCTGTCATTTTGAAAGCAAAATGGTCCCTCAATTTTCATTTGAGCCTCCTAACAGATAGGCCTCTTGTGTTTTACGTATATGAAATGTTTTCTCCAAGTGATGGGTCTGGACTGTGTTCACTGGCAATGATTTTGTGAAGTGTTCCACTTGTGTTCAAGTGGATATCCACGTCCTTGGGAGGATGAAACGAAGTGTCAGAGTCTGTAATATTTCATGAGACTGTTAGTTCTCACTGCTGTTCACAAATGAGGACGTTGGATGAGGAAATCAGCTCCTTCAGACTGTCAGTCACTTATCAGGAATCCAACTTTCACTTGAGTTCATGTGTGAAAACAGGGACCTAAGCTTTAAGGAGCTGTAGCTTGATGAAAAAGGAATTAAATTTTATGTACTCGCTCAGACTAAAGCTGAGCTGTAGTTAACCGACTTCAAAAGCAGACAAAAACCAGACGTTAGTCAGAACAGGCAGATTTTCTTGTGTTTGATCATTCATTTGCCCAGGTTCTGCAGATGGTCACAAGGCAGCCAGAGCCCAGAAATGACAGGTGATCCAAACTGATAAAACAATCACCAAAGCCATAAAGAACTAAAGCTGACCGATTTGCATCTGAAAGCAGAATCCAATAATAAATTAAGCCAACAATGTCCTTGAGCAAGACATGGACACCATCAATGTCAGGGCAGGTAGGTGAAGATGCACAAGTTCAGCTGAATGCACAGAACTGATTGGGCATTATATGATGGAATAGTGTAAACTGGGAGCTCATTATTAGCACAGAAGTTTCAGAAATAAGCAGTTCATACTTACACTCCATAGTTTTGTATGAAAATGTTATGACACAGCAGATCTACAATGAGCTCCGTTTGATTGCTCATCTGTTTTTGCCTTGCACAGTTGGAGGGAGTGAGCGAGCCAGTGGTTTTGCAGGTGTTCGTTGGCACCGATGCCGGCCGCGTGAAGCCTCATGGGTTTTACCAAGCCTGCAGGGTTACTGGTCGCAACACCACAGCCTGCAAGGAGGTTGATATTGAAGGCACAACTGTTATCGAAGTGTCCCTGGATCCAAGCTCCAACATGACCCTAGCGTACGTGCTTTTCTTAAAACTTGAAATTGTGTCATTTAATAGTTGTTAGTCCTACTAAGAACATTTCCTTATAATTGCCAAAATCCTCTTGAGAGCAAGTAAACCCAAGTTAACACTGCCCCTCACTGCAGGGTGGACTGTGTTGGGATCCTGAAGCTCCGCAACGCTGATGTAGAGGCTCGCATTGGGGTGGCCGGATCAAAGAAGAAGAGCACACGTGCTCGGCTCGTGTTTCGGGTCAACATCCCCCGTCCAGATGGTTCAGTGCTTACACTACAGACTCCCTCATCTCCAATCCTGTGTAGTAAGTCATTTTTCTCATACTTTGACTGGAAATACTGTTGTGAAGTCGGTATATTAGTTAAACCACTTAAAAAAACTTTGCAGAAAATTGTCCAGCAAGGTTTAATTACAAGGTATTATTTACGATATTCATGTAGTTATGACAGGTTAAGTGTGTGAAAATGGGTAGCTGACCTGTAACATGCTTGTTAATAATGACTATAATACTGTAAACTGAATATTTTTTTCAGCTCCTGTTTCTCCATTTTTAGAGTCAGAGGTCAGGAGACTATTGTCTTCTGATATCAACATTTGGAGAGGAAGGAGACAAAGATCCCATTAGACTGAGTTGTTTAATAATGCCTACAGAATGCCTACAGTACAAAGGTGTGGTTGTTTTCATAAACAGGAAAGACGCTTAGGGCCGTAAGAAAATATCTGTGTCAGTGGATTTGGGAGAATTTGCTCTGAGAGTGGCAGGGGAGAAAGAGAGGGCAAGGACGAAACAATAGGTGTGTGAACTTCTATTGTTTACACGGAGCCAGCATACAACCCAGGGAAATATCTTTCCACGAAACAAGAAAAAACAGTAATCCTGCTTGGCATCTTAGTGTGTGTGCATGTCTGTACGTGTGCGTTTGTGGGGGCGGATGTTACTCATATCATGGGGACTTAAATTTGTTTATACAGTCATATTATGGAGACTGTAACTCGTGACCCGACGAGGTAGTTATAAGATTGGGTTAGATCTGAGAAAGTAATGGTTATGTTTAAGGTTGACATGATTAATAATATCATTTGAAGTGTGTGTGTGTGTGTGTGTGTGTGTGTGTGTGTGT